CCAACAGCTCCTCCACAAGAAATGCATTAAGTCTTTGCATGTTTTTGTGACATGTAATCACTGCCCAGTTATTAAAGGAAGGTGCAAAGTTGCACTCTTTCTGGGGGAAGCTTAGGGAAGAATGGTGTCTTAGAAGGCAGAACTTTTCCCCATTATTCAGAAGGAACTTGTCCATTTTTACAGTACTTCACTAGAAGTAACTTCCTTTCCCAGCTGTATCCATCCTGTGCAAAATAGCAGCATGAAAAGGCTTGGTTGTGTCTAATCCTTCACCTCCTATGTGCTCCACTAGGAACATGCAAAGGAAGTAGCTCCTGTGCTTTCTGAATATGATTTCTGGTTGTGGTTGGTCTGTATGTGGACCTTGTATGTCCTTGGCTAGTGAATACACATGGCAGTGGTGAGAGGGAGAACAGTGCTTCTTCTGCGCAAAGAAAACAGCCCAGGCACAAAGCACAAAGCTTCCTTTTATTTCACACATTCCAATGGAAACCCAATGTTTTTTGTTAGGGATTTCTGCATTTGCCAGCAGCTCTAATAATGTAATATTTTGCAGAGGCATGAAAACCAGAAACTATAAACTAGTTCATTTATTTTCTCCTACTATCCAAGATAAATGAAGAACATGTGAATTGAGGAAGACTGATGAAAAGTCTGTATAACTGTAGCGTACATGAGAATTTGTTTTAATACTTCAGGCTGTGTCTATTTAAAACCTTAGCATATAGCTCCATCTAAAGGCAAATCGGTGGTCAATAACTTCAAAGTGTTAAATTCAGATTCACTTCCTGGTTTATTTTTTTTAAATCCTAATACTGTGATTAAACATACACACACACACACATATGGATCAATGGCACGAAGCTAGGGCCATCAGAGGACTAAACTCACCTAACTGTCTTATTAGTAGGAAATGGAATGAGATTTTTACACAGGCAATTTTGTGGAAGTCCAGAATCTAAAGAATAGCTGGACCCCGGTGCTGTGGAGTGGTAGTACTGTACTGATGAAGGCAGCACGATCTACACAGATGCCAATGATCTTAGCTTCAGTATGCTTTCTTCATTGCGGAGACTGGGGACATGGAAGATTCTTTTATAGAAGGGAGCAAATTATACTACTACACATGATAATTTTCTGAATACGGATGCACATCTTTTGTTACAAGTTGGAGAAATGGCTGCTTCTAAAGTTAAGAGGAGCTATATAAAATCTGGCAGCTTTCAAACATAAAGCAACATGATATGGGAAAATAAATTTAGTTCTTGTAAGACAGCTTTGCAGGAAGGTCAATAGATTTCCATAATTAAAGGCACTGTGTACTCAGAATGCCGGATTCCAAAGGTGATCCCAGAAGACATGGATTTCTTCAGTGTCACCTGGAAGAAGAAAAGTAAATGAAATTAATTGGAGTATTCTTCATTAATTACCCTCACTTCTTGCTAGTTGCCATACCCTGTACTCTCTGTAGTCAAGTACCAGGTCTGAAGAATCCCTGCTACTTACTGCACCTCATGCTCACTATATATCAGTAAAAAAGCTATCAGTAAAAAAGAAGCTTGGAGCTGTAAGTATAAGTGGGGGCAGAGAAGACAGGAACAATGAAGTACAGCAGCTGCTCTGCAATTTGAATGAAAAGTTGCAACATTTCTTAGTTAGATGGCATGACCTGGTGCTGTTTAACTTTTGAGGCTGGCACTCTGAAAAAATAAAGTAACAACACTGCTCCTGTATGCACCAGTACTTGCATCAGTTATATGACAAAATATAAAAGTATTTATCTAGATGATAGTGATCCTTCACATTAAATTCGCATACATAATTTCACCTTTGCATCCTATGTAGCATAGTATATTCCTTGCTGCTTTCATTTAACTCTACCTACTAAGCTGGTAATTTATGATACAGCCTTTTCAATGAGTTATAAAATATCTTTCAGAGACTACAATAGTACATTTAATTTGATTTCTTACAATTTCTTCATAGCCTAGAGGTAAATATCATACTATGAAACAGTGGCTGCATATTCACCATATATTACAGTAGCTGGAGGAAAAAGTTTTGTGCCTCTTTTATAGATGTCCCTTTGAGCTATTTACACCTAAGTTTGCTACTATATGTAGAAGCAAACCTTATTTGTTTTAAAAAAATATCAATACACTGAAGGTAATTGCACTTTTTTGATACTGCTCATACAATAAGACTGTAAGTACATTTTAATTGCGGCTTTTCCTTTAAACTTCGTGGTTCTCAGATGCACAGATACAACCTATGTGTTTGCATAGGTGTTTTCTCTTAGGTTCAGATATTAGAGTATGATAGAAATCTCTCTTATGTCTATGCTGTTGGAATAAGAGATGGTGTTGGAATGGATATATATGCACATGTATACTTAATAAAGGAACTTTCTCTTATGGGTGTCTTTCTGTGAAATTCATCTGTTTTAATGCCTTATTCATGCATGGAGTTTGCTTAGCTTTCAAACATGGCTTCTCCTGCACCAGCCCTGTGTAATACTAACAGTAGTACTTCCAAGATCACAGTCCCATCTGCCAATTCTTCCTTTAAATCATGAATCTATACATTGAAGATATAGTCGTTGTTTACTGGAATCTGATTTTTTTTTTAAATATATATACCAGAGGCCAATGGAAAAAGCCATGACTCATAATGGCTGAAATTAAAGACTTAATGCAAGTAAAGTAAATCCTGCTGCCAGGACTGTTAATAGTGCTGTGCAAGGCTCCGGCCAGAGCTTCGGATCCGGAGAAGCTCCAGGGTCCGAGCAGCACATCCGGTTCAAGCGCTGCCGCGTCCGGCTTCCCGCCGCCTCAGAGCCACCTCCAAGATCCGGCCGTAGGGTATATGGGGAAACAATAAAATACATATACCTTTCTTGTTTTTTGTCCCATTTGGATGAAATTTTGAGGGGTGGTAGACATGGCAGAGAGGATGAAGCCTGCCAAGTTTCAAGAAGATTGGTGCAGGGGTTTGGGGGCAACAGCATCCCAAATTCTTGATGACTACCTGGCTGGACTCATTTGAGTCCAGTCTTTTCTCCCGCCCAGGCAGGGGGTCGGACTTGAAGATCCACAAGGTCCCTTCCGACTCTACTTCTATGATTCTATGATTCTATGAAAGCAAAACTCCTGTCATGTTGATGTGTTACACCACAGGGGAGTCAAAACTACAGGGGCGGTAGCACTTACTGAGGCCACAAAGCCTGCCAAGTTTCAAGAAGATCAGTGCAGGGGTTTGGGGGGAACTGCCCCTCAAGCTGCGGACAAGCAAAACTGGTGCCATGGGTGCTGTGGGACTGACTGTGTCTGTCTTGGGCGGGGAGGCGAGACACTGCTGCAGGCCTGGCTGCTAGCTGCTGTGTTCCCAGTTGCCAATCGATCAATCATGATTCACTCGGGGACCTGGGACTCAGGAACCAGCTCAATACACAGGACCTGGCTACTACACAGCAACTTAATGAGCATCAATTAGCACCTACAAAACCAGGCTAAGGAGAGGAAAGACTCAATACAGACGATCAACTGCCCCAAGACCCACACAGTCTTGGCACCAGTTTTGCCTGTCAGCAGCCAGGGGTGCAGGGCCCCAGACCCCCCCCTGCACCGATCTCCTCAACAGCTGGCAGGCGTCACAGCAGGGGCCACCATCCCTGCAGCTGTCACCCCGCTGCGCCTGAACACACGCAGGGTCACCCATGGCATGAGTTTTGCTTGTCCACAGCTTGAGGTGCAGTTCCCCCCAAATTCCTGCACTGATCTCCTTGAAACATGGCAGGCTTTGTGGCCTCAGTAAGAGCTACCAGCCCTGCAATTTTCACCCCCCTGTGCTGTAACACACAGCCCTGACATGAGTTTGGCTTTCAAGAATTTGGGGTACAGTTCCTCCCAAACCACTGCGCTGAACTTGAAACTTGGCAGGCTTCATGCTCTCAGCAGAGGCTTCCATCTCAGCAAGTTTCATCTAAATTGGACAAAAAACAAAGTTACAGATATTTAATTGATTCCCCATTACACCCTATGGCTGGATCTCTGAGGCGGCTCCAAAGCTTTGGCGGGATTGAGGCGGAAACCCGGTCCAGAACTCCGGATCGAATCACGGCCACGCAAAGCTGGATTGGATCGCTGCCAACTTACACAGGCCTAATTGTTAGTCCTGTAAATTTAGCTACTAACCCTAGTTCACAAAAACTACTGAAGGAGATGCTGAGACAATAAAGGCCAGCTGCTGAAAGGAGGAAAAGGGAAACAAGGGCTTTTTTGTCTTACCTTTCCTATATTGTAGGCTGCAGGTCCAGGATGCAAAGTTCTATCTCCTGGAGGCCTGCTTGGTGAACTCATACTGTACTCAGGTGCTCTGTGTTTGTATGCATTGAGCTTTGGCCTGTTATATGCAGCAGGACCTGGTGTCTGTAAAAGAGTCAATGAAATCTTTCAGATGAAAACATCAACATTGAGGATCCCCAGCCTCCCGTGAGAATTGCATCAAGCTTGATAGGAAAATGTTATCATAACATGGAAGCAAAGTTAACAATTTGCCTGAAGAGCAAGTTTTTTCTTTTTATAGTTTGCATCTCCTTCAGAAGTTTCCATTAAATGTTTTGAAATCTGTTCCCAGCTGTTAGGGTAGCTTGTTATGTTTAATGCTTTGAAGTTGCACCTGCTTATAGTATTGTTTATGTTTTAGCCTTATTGAATCATTGCTTAAGTTTTGTCCTTATTAACTTTTTGTTTTTTATTATTAGCTGGCTTTGAGTTGTTTTTGTAGAGCTCATAGGTGCTCATTATGTCTTTTCTTTTTTTTATCACTGTGAGAAGTTCTTTTAACATAGCATAGAAATGGCCTTGTTACTAGCTTCAATTAACTGAACTTGGCACTAACCAGCTGAATCAGAGGGATGAAAGAATTGGATATATTAATGAAAGGTGATAAGGAAGACCAATGGACAATGCCCAAAGTAAGACACCGGAAAAAGGCCAAATTTAAGAGGTGTGCTTGTAATGGATCTGTTACACAAAGGAATATGCTGACGGGATAAAAGATGGATAATATGCTGACTACAAAGAGACCAATCCAAAAGCAGAGAGTCATCAAAGAAGTGAAGTTGAAGAAAAGCATAAAAGCAGGGAGCAAAAAAGTTCATCATCATACGTCAGAAATCCAGCCTTCAACACCTGCCTGGACCCTCCCAGCCCATGATGTGCCCTTTGTTTCCAGGAACTGAGTGGCCATCTTTTCTGCCTGAGCAAAGTAACATCTGGGATTGGGCGAGATTGTTGTACTGAATGTTTTTTTTTTCTCTCTGAATATAGAAACTGCTGAGATAATACTTGTTGTACTAATAAAGTCAGACTTCGATTTCAGGACACCGAGTTGTCCAAGACTCATTTTAAGACACTGAGTTGTCTGTATTTTGATTTTAGGACACCGACTTGTCTAAGCTTGTGAACCATGTTTGCACACCTACTGTAATTTTATCATTTTATTATTGCTTCTTCCCAAGCTACCTACCACTGTCACATTTTCTACCAGTTCTTCCCTATTGATCAGGACAAAATCCAAGATAGGTGATCCCTTAGCTGTATCCTGCACCTTATGGAACTGAAAGTTGCCCTTCACCAAGTTATGAACCAACTCCACAATGAAGTCCAGAAAATTGAACTCTTACCAGTACCATCCCATTCCCATTTCCATACCATTCCTTCCCAGTGCCAGAAATTATTAGACACTTGGAAAGTATGATTTCTGAGGAAAGACGGAGAGAATTGGGATTATTTAGTCTGGAGAAGAGAAGACTGAGGGGAGATTTGATAACAGTCTTCATATACCTGAGGGGTGATTTATAAAGAGGGTACAGGTAGACTATTCATTGTGACTGCAGGGGACAGGACAAGGAGTAGCATTCTTAAATTGCAGCGGAAGAATGTAGATTGGATATTAGAAAGAACTTGCTCACAGTGAGGGTGCTTGAGCATTGGAACAGACTACTTCAGGAGTTTGTGGAATTTCTACTCTTAGAAGTTTTCAGAAGTGGGTTAGACAAACATTTGATTGGGTTATTTAGTCAGGGGTCATCCTGCCTTGAACAGGGGGTTAGCATAGATGATCTTTTGAGGTTCCTTCCATCCCTACTTTTTTATAATTTTATGATTAGGGTTGGTAGAAAGACTAGGTCTAATTTGAAGACTTTGGGAGTCTCATTGATTTTGATGGTATTTGAGCCATGTCCTTTGGATAGGTAGATGCTGCAAGTACAGAAGCGCCCTGTCTTGATGATGGCGCAGTAAGTAGGACTCTAGATACCACTGTCCATGTGCAAGCTGAGTGCTTGGATCTGCTTGTATTTGTATATTGAGAAAGGACCCAGCAATATTTGGAGCCCTTCAGTTTTGGAGGGGGCCTCTGGTTACTGATAAGAATACTTGGAAAGGAGGTGAAAAGGCAGCCTACCTTATGGCGATCCTCATAAAAATAACCTATGTTACTTTTCCATTTCATGGAATAGCAAGGACTAGCTGTTTTGTCCACTGTTTTGGGGCCCAACACTTTAGGGACTGTATATCTGGCAGGACCTGGCAGGACAGAACAGTAACAATTATTACATTCAGCATGATTGTTCAAGGATTAGATAGCACATCTAGACAGGGAAGACATTTTCAAACTGAGGCTGGGGAGAAATCAATTCCAACTATGTTGGGGCACCAATTTGTAATACTGTAGTAGCCTCATGGGACTATCATATAATCTGTTTTTTAGCCTTTGTGGACAGGACCTATCTTCATTTTTCTGAGGCTGTGGGGTGCTTCACTTAGCATGTTTTACAGCAGCAAAATGGACTTTCTTTCTTTTCAAATGACTGCTTTGTCCTTTGCATCAGTATTCTGATCCTGCCTTATCTGATGCCACAAGCACAGATGAGTTCTCTTGGCCTTCAAGGCCTGTAGTAGCCTATCCTTATGCTAATTGCCATGTCTTAAATTATCAACATGTTTGATAATCCCCCTGCTCTGCTCATGCACTTAAAAAGTAAGCTATTGGGGAACAGCATTGTCATCACATCCTGCGTTTGTCTAGGCCAAGTTACAAGAAGTCCCTACTCTATGATGGGCTGGGGGCACTATCACAATATAGTTTTTCTTTCTTATTTTTGTTATTTCATACGAGATACTTGCCTTGTTAAACAATACACACAGAAAGGAGTGTTTTTCAAAGTATTGTGTATTTGTCACAGGACTCCCATTGACTTCTCCATATTTTCTCGCATCACCTGCTCTTCTGTGCTCTCAGCCATTTTTGGTGGTCTTGGGAGTCTGAGCGCCACATATTCTGAGTATGAGCAGAGTAATTTCTTGCCTGGCTCTCAGGCTCTGGGACCAGGAGACCAGAAGCTGAGAGCACAGAAGAACATTAACTGTCTATTCCAGTTCCAGCCCCTTGCTCCCTGGGTGGGTGGGGAGTGAAGTCGCAGAGCCAAGCAACCCTCTGTCGCACCCAGCTGACTGAAGAGCAGGCTCTTGCATGTTTGCAGTGTTTTTTTAAGTGGTCTAGTGGGAGGACAGCGTTGGGGGCTTCACATCTACCTGAAGTGCTCTGAAGGAGAATTTGGAGCAGTTCACATGTATATCTTTCCATGACCAGTGTGCTTGTTTTATTTATTTATTTATTTATTTATTTATTTATTTATGGTTTTGTTTTCCCTGTTTTCAGCCTGCACTGGATTTATCATTTATATATGCATGAACTTAGCAAATATCAAACACAAACATTGTTTCCCCATTCTGGACTGTGCAAATGTTAATTAGAGTATTGCAGGATTTTCTTCTGAACTAGTGCGCATTTGCCACCATTCACCTAGGTACTCAGTGGTTTGGTTTAACACTGACTGCTCAGATGGCCCCATGGTTTGTCAGGGTCTGCAATCAAAGCTACTAGGGCTGTGCGAAACAGCACCATTTCGACTTCCGTTTCACCGTTTTGATAGAACAATGTTTTGTTTCGAGTTTCATTTAATTTCATTTTGAAAGCACTGTTCCATTTTGTTTCATCGAAACTGTGTCATCATTTCAACGCTGTTTTGGCGGTTCACCCATAAGCTATAACGGGGAAGCACAACACTGCCTATAACTTTGTCATTTTGGGGCAGATTTAGATTAAAGCAGCAGGGATGCTAGCCCCCTCTGAAAGCATAAAGCCTGTCAATTTTGAAGGAGGTAAGTGCAGTGGTTTCTGGGAAACTGCACCTCAAATCTTGACAGCAAAACTTGTGTCCCTTGTAAGTGTGGAGGCACAGAGGGGTGAAAACTGCAGGTATGGTAGCCTCTGCTGAGGGCATTAAGGCTGCCAGCTTTCAAGGAGGTAGGCACAGGGGTTTCTGGGAAACTGCACCTCAAGCAGCTGACAAGCAAATCTCATGACGTGTGACTGCATGTGTATGTTAAGGGGCCTCTACACGACATGGTAGTATGCCCCAATGAGGTCTCCTTCTCCCCTACAGCCTCAGCCCGGTCCACTGCTTAAATGACAACAGGTATAAAATAAGTTAGTGAACACTCGCACAGTAGTACCAGCAGTATCTCAGGCAGCCAAACTGTGACAGAGCCCTTCTTCCCTCTCCTTCAGGAGCTTCTTTCCTAGCGTGTGTTAAGGTGTGCCCTCACTGTGTTCTGCCCCCTCCCTTGCCTTACTTTCTGTTTCCCTGCAAGCAAACCCAGCTTCAAAACTCGAAACATTGCGAAACTTCTGAAATGTTTCGACTACCCTCATTTAGTTTCAAAGGTGTTTCGAAGCCCTTCATTTCATTTTGATTTTTCTGTTTCAAGCTCAAAATGAGTTGAAATAGCATCAAAATGAAACAGCCAGTGAAATTTCACACAGCTCGAAAAGCTACTCTTTGGTGGCAGAACCCAGTCTATTCTGGAGGAGTAAAGTCACTTTTCTTTGTGATGAAGGCTTCCGCCGCCATCTAGAAGCCAGGAGAAGGCAGAAAGTGTAGGACTGCCTATACATACGAACTGCTGTAGTCCCTTAAGCAGCTGTGTTTCCCCAGGACTTGCTTTGTATCCTGGTGGCTGCCGTATTGGAACAGCATGGCAATGAACATGTTCCTATGACACCTGCTGTCAGCCAGCAGAAGTTCTGGTGGGCGAAGCAGCCAAGTATAAAATAAGACCTGCATGTCAGGGCTAAAAGGAAAAGGGATTTGCATATTCTTTTCAAATGCACCTAAGTAAATGAAGTTGTTTCACATTTTAGTCTGTTAATCTTGATGACAATCCCGCTTAGCTCTGGGTATAACACTGGATCCTTTTGAAGCTTTTATCTTGTATCAGAATACTTTCCTCTGGAATCAGACTCAGGACTGTCTGCATTCAGGCCAGGTTTCAACAACAGGAGTCCTACATCAGATTTATTTATTAGTTAATGGATTTTTACCTGGAGTGCTGTCTACTCTGAAGCTTTTCGATCTAAAGGAAATGGAGTGAATAGGAGCACATCGATAGACATGTTTTCTTGACTTCTCTGGTGAGTAATCACCTAGACAAGAGTAGAACAAAGCAACAGTAATGACGGCTTGCCTTTAAAAGCATGCAAAGCAAATGATTTGGTCTTTAGGTTCAGCATACAAACTTTTAGGGCTTCCATCTGACCCATCACACTGTATTGCTTTTTCCCACGCATCCTGTCCTCATGGTCTGGTATTGCCATTTCTCCTACCTCCTACAGCAGGGGTGGGCAAAATGTGACCTGCAGACCAGATATGGCCCACCAGGCCATTTTATCCAGCCCACAGGGCCTCTAAAAATTTAGAAAATTAATATTTATCTGCCCCTGGCTCCCTGTCATGAGGCCTTCAATAACTTGCCAAAACTCAGTAAGCGGCCCTCCACCCAAAATAATTGCCCTCCCCGTCCTACAGCAAGTGCCTACCACCAATTACCCCCTCATTCTAGTTATGCATTCTAGCCTGTCTGTCCACATGCCATTCCTTCTGTATCTCTGCCCCATGGTCCTATGTGGCTACTCCTCCCACATTTCATCCCCTAGCATTGGAGCTGTTTCTGTTTGAGGATATGCATACTTTATTCTAAAAAGATGTTCTAAAGTTTCCAATCAGTTAAGAGGGGGGGATCATGGATATGCTATCCTCACTTTGGATAGCCTGCTAGAGATGTGCTACTCACTTGGTCCAGGGGTGATCTCTGTTTTCACTATGGGACGACCAGATATGGTATAAGCTGGGGCAACTTCCTTCCCCCTTCTGGTCATTGAGGCCACATAGTAGCGAGGACCTGGAGAGCAGCTTTCTTTGCAATGTGGCCTTGTCCCACTAATACTATAAGCAGGGGCTTTCTTTTTGGTTGGATTGTGCTTCATGTAACCTAGGAAGAAAGACTACATTTTCTATGTGTTGACCAAGTCACATTTTAAATTCCCTTTGTATTACAGTGCTAAAGTCATTTGAGTCTTTGGCCTCATGAAGTTCCTTTTCAGGACATTGTGTTTCCTTTTGTTTTGTAGGACATATATTCAGTATATCACACATTTTTTCAGATTATATGTATCTCAGATTTTTCACTCAGCAATAGGTGTCTACTACAGACTGCTAAACCAGGAGGAGGAGCTGGATCTGGAATTTTTCAGAGAACTGATGGCGGCTGCACATTCAAAGGACATAGTTGTTATGAGTTCTCTCAGTTACCCTGACATCTGCTGGGAGGGGCACTTGGCCAGATCTGACTGGTCATGTAGGTTTTTGACCTGAGTGGAAGAACTTTTTTTAGTACAGAAGGTGAAAGGGTTGACCATGAGGAAGGCTTTGTTGGATTTTGTTCTAGTCAAAGGGGGCAACCTGGTGGGAGATCTGAGGATGGGAGATAGTGATCATGAGATGATAGAATTCATTATCCATCATAGGGCAGGGAACTCAGTCAGCAAGGCAGAGGTGCTTGAATTCAGGAAGGCTGACTTCAATGAGCTTAGGAAAATAGTGGGAGACACCCTATTGGAAGAGGGACTGGAGGGGAAGGGAGTTCAGGAAGGGTGGTCATTCCTCAAAGGAATGATCCTCAGAGAGCAGAAAAGGTCTATTCCTTTATTCAGGAAAGGTGGAAAAGGGGCCAGGAAGTCTTCTTGGCTTACCATTGGAGTCAAGGAGTGCTTAAAAAAGAAAAAGGAGATCTATGGACAATGAAAACAAGGAGTAGTCACCAAGGAGGAATACACAAGTATAGCCCATGTTTGTAGGGAGATGATAAGGAAGGCAAGGGTGGTGACCAAGATCAGGTTGGTGACCGACATCAAGGACAATAATAAGTTCTTCTTTAAGTATATAGGGAGCAGGAGGAAGACAAAGGGAAATGTGGGGCCCTTGCAGAATAGGATGGGACAGCTGAAAAACAGACAGTCAGGAGAAAGTAGAACTGTTTAATGAATACTTTGCACTGGTGTTCCTGCATACAAATGGTGATCACCTGCCTGGTCAGATATTGGATTGATGCAGGGGGGCAGTTGCCAAGAAATGATTAGTGTTGAACTGGTGAGGGAGCACTTAAAGTAGCTGAATGTCTTCAAGTTAGCAGAACCGGATGTACTACACCTGAGAGTGCTGCGGAAATTAGCTGGAGTCATTGCAGGATCGTTGGTGAAGGATTTGAAGACTTGTGGTGTTTGGGAGAGTTCCCACAAGACTGGAAAAGGGCCAATGTGGTGCCAATCTTTAAAAAGGGGAGGAGGGAGAATCCGGAAAACTATAGACCAGTTAGTTTGACCTTGATACTGGGTAAAATTTTGGAAAAAAATTATCAAAAAGTCCATTTGTGAGAGACTGGCAGAAGGCATGATGCTGAAGAATAGCCAATATGGTTTGGGCAGGTTGTGTTTGACCAATCTCATCTTCTATGGTCAAGTAACAAACCGCTTAGATGTGGGAGATGCAGTTGATGTCATATATGTGGATTTTAAAAAGGCCTTCAGTATAGTCCCCCAAGAGGCTCTTATAAAAACAAAACAAAACTGGGGGATTGTGGGCTGGCAGAATCCATCATCAGGTGGGTTGGGAACTGGCTAGGGGGTGAAACCCAGAGAGTGTTAGAGGATGGGTCTGTATCATTTTGGTGGGAGGTGGCCAGTGGTGTCCCACAGGGTTTGGTTCTTGTTCCCATGCTGTTCAACATTTTTATTAACAATTTAGATGAGGAGGTGGAAAGGTGGTCAAGTTTGTAGATGATACTAAGTTATGGGGAAAAGTGGTTAAACTAGGGGATAGGATGCAGATACAAACAGACCTGGGCAAGCTGGAAAGGTAGGTGGAACAGAACCAGATGCAGTTCAATAAGGGTAAATGCAGAGTATGTCATTTGTGGAGAAGTAACTACCAACATATATAGGTTAGGAGGAGATGTCCTGGCCAGCACGATGACTGAAACGGATCTCAGGGTTATGCTGATGACATGAGCCACCAGTGCGATGCTGTAGTCAACAGAGCTAATAGCATCCTGAAATGCATTAGTTGATGTGCTGCAAGCAGAGCTAAGGAAGTGATACTTCCTCTACTTGGTGCTGGTGAGACCCCAGCTGGAGTACTGTGTCCAGTTCTGGGTGCGAAACTTCAAAAAAGACATGGAGAGTCCTGAAAGGGTCTAGAGAAGGGCCACAAAATGATTAAGGGCCTGGAGGACAAACCTTATGAGGAAAGACTAAGGAATGTGAGACTGTTTAGCCTGGGGACAAGAAGACTGAGGGGGGACTTGGTGGCCATCTATAAGTATGTAAAGGCGAATATCAGGATCCAGGAGAAAAACTGATCATTAGGGTGCCCCAGGGGAGGAAAAGGAGCAATGGCCATAAATTGTTAGAGGACAGTTTCAGGTTGGATGTAAGGAAGGAAGAATTTCTTTATGGTAAGGGTGACCAGAATCTGGACTAGACTTCCCAAGGAGGTGCTGTAGTCCCCAGCGGTGGAAGTCTTCAAGAGGAGACTGGACAGACACCTTGCTGGGATCATTTGATCTCAGCAGTATTCCTGCCCAGAGCAAGAGGATTGGACTCAGTAATCTTTTGAAGTCTCTTCCAGCCCTTGATTTTTATGATTCTATGAAAAAATGAGCTGTCCGGTTTTGTTCTTATACCAGTGACTAAGGGTTTGGAAATATAGTAAAATAGATGTTCCATGATAGTTATTTTCCAAGCACAGATGAAACCTAAGGTCCCTTTCAAAGCAAAGTGACTGAACTAAAATATTTAAACTGCACAAAAAATTGTTCAGTCATACAGAAGAGGAATTCTCTAAACAATCTGCATTAGAGCTCTGACAGGAAGACACCATCTTAATGACAGGGCTGCAAAGTCTGAGAAAATTGCTATCTGTGATCAGTGTCAAAATTAACCAGAAATTAATTAACCAGATTTCAAATTAGCCAGAAGTAAATGTAAAGAATTCTTATAACTAAGCTCGGGCGGGGGGCGGGGTTCTTTCTAATGCATTCTAATAAGAATGTTACCTATCATGAATTCTGCTACTTGTAGATACAATTATGTTACTAACATGGTAATTTCACACCAAAAGCAGCAACTGCCACTTAATGAAGCAGTAACTGACATTTTAAAAACTGATACAGAAGAGAAGGCTGAGGGGGGACCTGGTGACTGTCTACAGACTCACTAGGGGGGACCAGAGGGGTTTGGGGGAGACGCTGTTTCCCCTAGCGCCCGCTGGCATAACAAGGAGTAATGGGCACAAGCTGATGGAGAGGAGGTATAGATTGGACATCCGCAAAAACTACTTCACGGTTAGGGCGGCTAGGAGCTGGAACCAACTTCCAAGGGAAGTGGTGCTGGCCCCTACCCTGGGGGTCTTTAAGAAGAGGCTGGATGCCTACCTGGCTGGACTTGTTTGAGTCCCATTTCTCTTTTTGGGGTTTTTTGTTGTTCTCCCGCCCTGGCGGGGGGTCGGGCTAGAAGATCTACTAGGTCCCTTCCGACACTTAATCTATGAATCTATGAATCTATGATTTAGACAATTCCTTCTGAATGAATTATATTTCTGTTCTATGTTAGAAACTACAGTGATGGATACCTTAGAATCATAGAAGTCAGGTCAGAAGGGACCTTGTAGATCTTCAAGTCCGACCCCCTGCCCTGGGCAGGAGAAAAACTGGGCTCAGATGACTCCAGCCAGGTAGGCATCCAGCCTCTTCTTAAAGACCCCCAGGGTAGGAGCCAGCACCACTTCCCTTGGAAGTTGGTTCCAGCTCCTAGCCGCCTGGACTGTGAAGTAGTTCTTACGGATGTCTAATCTAAACCTGCTCTCCAATAATTTGTGTCCATTATTCCTTGTCATGCCAGGGGGCGCTAGGGGAAACAGTGTCTCCCCCAAACCCTTCTGGCCCACCCAGTGAGTTTATAGACAGTCACCAGGTCCCATAGACAGTCACCAGGAAAAAGGTATTAAAAGCCAATTGCAATTTACACAAGCATGAGGCAGAAGAAGAGAAGAGCCGATATTAGCTGCCTTTTGCAAACAACCATCTTTAAGTTCTTGGTGTCACAGACAGACAGCTTTCCTTGCCTCAAATTCTCTGAGGAGCAAGTCACAGATGGTGGAAAATGCAGCTAATCCTAAAAGTAATATTCTTTATGAATTTCCCAAAAATTAACATTTTGCAATCTCTGCTCTGTGGAAATTTGTGTGTAATTCAGCCTTGTGCTTTTGTCATGAAAATTTACCATCTCAGCAACAAAATCTATTTGTCATAGAGAAAATTAGAAGAATGATTGATATTAAAACACTATTTGCAGTATTATGTAGATGTGTACTAAGTAGAGTCACTCAGTTCTCTCTGCTAGGTTATAAAAAAAAATTCTAATATTCAGCTGCTATGTGGGAAAAGTTATACTAATTGTCACACCAAAGGCAGTGGAGTTATTTAAGTAAAAAACATGAGAGTGTACACAAAATGAATAATCTGAACTGATCTAAACTTTGTTTAATTTATTACCATGAACCAGGTTTCCTAGAGTTCTGTATCTGTCTGTGCTTTTTACCTGTTGTTCCCTGTATTGAGTACTTGGGTCCTGGACCAGTGTACTGGGCTACTATTGGTATCCTTGGCCGATGTGGTCTCCAGGTTCCCACCCAAACTCTGTCACCCATAGTGGGAGCTGGTTACAAAGCCTAAAGAGAAAGTAGAAGTGTTAATAATATTCTTTGAAAGAAGAAGAGTTCTTTTTCTTTTGAGAGTTTCAAAAAAACATTCTCAACCTGGCCCTGAAACTGTACTACACCCAAAGGCTAGTTGTGGGCATAATGGATCTGTGTTGAAGGAACCATATTTTGTACCTCCCCTAGGGTTGCTGCTGCCAGCAGCATGGTATTACTGAGGTAATGCACAGCTGTTTGAGATTTTCCTTGGATATCAGTCTTGCTACATGTGAATACTCAGTAATGGGGACAGGACAGCTGAATCCTGCTATTGAGGTCCCTCTTGAAGTGATAGAGAGGGCATTTCCCAGTATCCAGAACCAGGACTCCTTTGATATTTCAAAGGGATCTGTTTCTTTGCCCAGTCATATCATTCACTGTAAAGCAGACCCCAGGTTTACCTGCTCTCTGTCACTGGTCATTGTATTGTGCACCCCAGCAGTCTTCTACACTTCTGTCCACACCACACTGCATGAAGGCATACAATACTCACTGGCTGTACTTGACCTATGACAAATTCTAGAGATCGAGCAATGTAGATGCCTAAAAGTGTAGCTGGACACGTATCGCGTGACACTCTAAAGTAGCTCTCTTGTCTCATTTCCAGGATTTGCCATGCATGAAGTTATAGTGAGCGGACCACTAGTTTCTCAGTTGGAAGTGAGTGCAGTTAGCTTCTTTCGGCTACTACATTTACAGAAGAAGGAGTTGGTTTTTCTCCTCCCTCACCACATGGATGAAATTACAACTTCAAAATCCTTGGTTCTTCTTGATGAGGTATAGGAAAAGGAACATCCTAAGTTTTAGTTTATAGCACTGAACATTAAAAAAAAAAAATCATTTTTCTTTGACTTTGTGAGTGATACAAATCTACTGTGGCAGTAGTTTTCAAACTTCCAAAAATGAAAGAACTATTTTGCATCACTTCTTCTGCCATAGAACCCCTACCCCTGGCTCTGGGGACCATACAACCTGACATGGAGCCAGGCGACCTGATCTGGCAGTGGTGATACACTGTCTCCTGGTCTGCTCTGCCATTACCCCCAATTTCTTTATGGGATCCCTGATGATCTCTCACAGAATCCCAGCATTCCACAAAACACAGTTTGAAACCCCCTGGACTATAGAAATAAGGATCTAATCCATTCTGTGTTCTTCTGATTTCAGTGAGACTCCTGCGTACAGACTGATTTAAGGATAAGACTCTGAACAGGTAAGCCCATACGATATTTTACACTCCCTTTTCAGACTATACTGCATTAAAGTACACCAGGGCAATCTGTACTACAGAAGGATTTTCAATGCACAGGAAGAACAAAGCTGTACTCTTCCTCTCTCTGCCTCTCCACAAAATTCCACCAAATTATACAATAGAAATATATAATGTAAACCCTAATCATGTAAGTCAGAATTATTTGTGGGAGTAAAGTTTTGCTGGATTTTAGCTTTATCTCTTCTCATCACTCCTCTATGTGAAGGTTAGACAAATTATAAAGGAAGTGGATGGAGGGAAATGCCATAAGAAGAAAAAGCCTACTTTTAGTGGGCTGAAATAGTTCTTCCCTCAATTAGCTCAAAAAACTAAAAGGGGTTAGGGCTTAACACAATATGCCAGTCTCCAAACTTGTCAAGCTACCTTGGGTGAATCTGATATCTTTTATTAGATGAGAAAAGATCTCAGATTCACCCAAAGAACCTTGTCTGCCTATGTCCTTAGACCAACACAGCTACAACCTACACCCCTCAAGCTATCTTATCATGTATATACTGCGCACTCGTTTTATAAAAAAGAAAGTCATATTGTTGCAATATGAAGGACTCACTAGAGAGCTCTGGAGTTCCACAGGAGAATACGGCTGTTCCTTTTTGAAGACAATGCAACCATGAATTTACTGTGTAGGTTGCCCAGTTGCAATCTTCCTGCTAAAACTAGGATATGCAAAGAAACTAGATAACATTCTGCCTGTATCTTGGAAAGACCTACTGCATGGTCATGTTGTACCACAAATTAATATCTGCTTTATAAGTGGGCTTGTAGATGTGCGGTAACATGTATCACATTGCAAATGGCCATTTAGGAGTTTTAATTTCTTTGTCTAAAGATAATTGGTTTTAGGGACTTGATGTTTGTTTCTTCAGAGTACCCAGTTATCACATCTCTAGACAGTTCTAGTAGCTCTTTGAAGACATTTTCAACACCGATATGCTACATCAGGATGCAAATTTTGAGATAAGCATGTTTGGTGCTTGAAGATGTGAGACCAGTAGCACTCTGCCTATACCCCAATAGTTTCCTTACTACAAACCTTTTTATGGATTATTGCTTCTCTAGCATCAAGGAAACACAGTTGCTCCTAGATATTCCTAAGTACATTAAAAATCATGTGGCGACTGCAGTTCATGTGGCTCCCCAAAAAATGCTCATAAATGTTAATTTCAGAATTTCTTGTGGTCAGTAGACAGAGCAGAACTGTGTTCTAAAGGCCTTGTTACACCTTGAACTTAGATCTACTCAAATGTTGATAAGTGTTAGTGCTAGTCAGGTTTGGAGCAGACACACCTTAAACTTAACAGCCTTCTCTGACTGCCCCCACCCTGCACAGCTGTGCCTTGCCACTGAGACCTAGTGAGCAGGGGCAAGACCAGGAGCTGTAACTGTGAGTTGCCACTAAAGGGCCCATGGCCAGGACAGATTTCTATCCCTGTTCTAGGTGATGGTGTGAGAGACATGGGTTTTGGGGGGAGTGGGTAAGAACATGAAGCTAGGAGGTGGAGAGTTAATGGGATGGAGTGGGTAATAAAATGGGAGGTAGAAAAGAAATCGGGGTTGGGGAAGCATGGTGAAATGAAAGGATAAAATAAAAAGAAGTAAAAAACCCCCAGGAATTTAAGAAGAAATTTCCCCCTAAAACCCACTCCTAGACCTATCTGTGCCCTGCAACCTGGCTAGGTGGTATGTGTTCTGCAGGCTGCTTGCCAGGGTTGTACCCCTGCAAGAGGAAAGGTCATATCACCAGAGGCTGAAGGGGGAGTTAGCTTAGTGCTAGCACCACCCTCTAGGGCAGTAGAGTTCAAGAAAATTTGTCCACACAGAAAAGGAGGGTGGGGAGGAGACACTGCATCCTGATATGCTGAAGGACTGCAGCTTGGGCAGTTCATTTGTGGGGAGTGGCCACACATTAATGAAACATGAGCTAGGTAACATGGATCTGAGTCATGGGTGACTGGTGCTTCCTGAGTCTGGGGGGCACAGATTGCTGAGGGCAGGTCTCCCAGCTGCCGATCACTGAATCAGCTGTGAAACCGGAAGTGCACTTCCGCTGGCACTTATGGTTTTGCAGCTGGCATTTCCAGGGGGTGCAGGGCTGATCTCAGGGGGTACACATGCACCCACATGCACCCCCTACATGTCACCAATGATTAGAGATAAATCTGCCCTGGAGTGGTGTAACTTTAAGCTGCCTAAAATGTGCTTGGATCTAGTTTCAGGTGTTAATGTGTGGATAATCCAGGGGTTAAGAGCTCCAGGAGCCACCTAAAATTAACATGTAATGAGGCCCAAAGACTCCTTCTCAAGGTTTGTGTCCTAAGTAAATAGTATGCTGAATCTCCAAAATGAATTTGTGAGGGAATTAGCAGAATTGTTTCTGGAATTTGGTTGGGGTAGGTTTGAACTGTGCTTTCCTTTATGCAATGCCTGGCAAATTCCAACAATCTTTGTTTAAGTTGTTCATGGAGCTGTGGTTCATGGAGCTGACAGAATACTTGCACTTTTTACATGATTGTGTACCTTCCCTAATAATCGAGATTGCTGTCAGTCTTTACTAAAAACCATATATATATCAATGTGCTATTTTAAGAAAAAAGTTTAAAGTATACCAGCCCAGAAATATTGAACCATATATGCCCTACAGAGAAAATTATTTGTTAGTATGATCCCCTTAACTTCAATTCGCAGTGAGGTGCAAAATTTGGATTCAACCCTGATCCTAGAGACACACCTGGAAGTTATGCTGCTAAATTCACTCAGAACCAGTATAACAAATTAGTGAACCTAAACCAGGAAAGAAAAGGCAAAACTGGAAAATTCCCAACTAGATGAACAGGAAATAATTTACCTCTTTTGTCCTTTGAAGTTCAAGTATATACAGATAGCTCTGGCTTCTCTTCTGTTCTCTTTTTATTATGGGGTGGGGTGTGGAAACTGGGAAGAGAAGGCAGGATACTGGCAGGGCAGGCTGAGGTTTCTCCCTCCCTGCAGATTGTGGGAAGAACTTTCATGAAGTGGTCATAGAAAACTCACAATTACCTTGCACGGCAGCGCCGAGCGTTCTAGAACACTACCCAGCACCGGGATTCAAGTGCTGGTGTCAAGATTTCATCAATCATTCCTGTAGCTTCAGTGTCTTGGCTCTACTTGTGAAAGAATCAACTCCCAGGCAGCAAGACCCTCAGATTGGCACAAGGACCTTGAGCCCTGAGGGCAGTCCAGTTGAATAGCTACTGATCAGTCTTTCTGCTAGCATCTGTCTCTAGTTATTGCTGGCTCATGTTTTCACATGACGGTAATTAGGCAGCAGAGTCAAATTCAAAGCATTTGCATATGTGCGTATATTGAGTTCTTCCTTTGATGCTCCAAAAGAAGGCCATTGCAATTTGGAGCTTAAAGGAAGATTTTTTTGAAAGCAACTTGTTCCCATTTTTAAAAGTAACTTAGGCAGAGGACCACATTTTCAAAAGGTTTTGGACTCCTACACATACGCAGAGCCCAGTGGAATTTTCAGCAGCACTTAATCAGGTTCAGTGCCTACCCCATCAATTTCAATGAGCTAGTCCCTCTTGAACATGGGGTTTAGGCTCCTAAGCAACTTGAGTATTACCCTTTACTGACCTTGCTTTGGAATTTTTCAGAAAAAGCCCAAATAACACAAAGCAGCCAGATGTTCTCCTCCCATAGGAT